GATATCCCAGAAGCTGCAAAATTAATTCAAGCAGTAGTAAGTATACCCTACTTACTTCAATATCCATATACATATTGGTACAATCAAGAAAGAGTAACTTCTTTTCGGAACTAGCTAATTTAGGATTTGCAAAGAAAGGAAATAGTAGATTATTGAATTGTGGACAGGACTTGGTCTAGGTAGTATCCATGTGTCTATCACAGGCCTGCACAACATACATCCTGACAACAGATTGCAGGTGGCCCACAAAAAACGTAGAGGTTGTAAAACAGGCTGTATGTTGTTGTGCAGGCCTAGTCTACCACTAGCACGGTTAAATTCAGCATTACAAGCACCAGCCCTGAAGTCAGGAGGACCTGAGTTCAAATGTGGCCTCAGACCAAACACTTGACACATACCAGCTGTGTGACCTTGGGCAAGTCACTTAACCCCGATTGCCTCATTAAAAATAAATAAATAAATAAACAAATAAATAATTAAATAAATTCGACATTATATTGGGAGAGGGAAATTATTTCAAAAAGGGTTTGTCTTTGTGAACTTTTGGGGTAACTTGGTTGTGTGGCATTTTAGTCTTCTACTGTTAACATTCTAATTTTCAGCTACATTTTTATATTCCTGAGTGTAATCAAGAACACTTTCAGATTAACTTTCTTTTACTCTGTATGGCCTAAGCCACTCCAACCTTCTGTTTCTTCTCACTTTGGGTCTTGAAACTGCCTCATTTCTTCCACCGACTTCAAACACAGTTTATTCTATAATAAACCCCTTTGATAATCCAGCAACCAGCAAACATTTATTTAGTGCCTCCTGTGTACCAGGCACTGTGCTAAGCGCTGGAGATACAAAAAGAGGCAAAAAACAGCCCCTGCCTTCAAGGAGCTTACGATCTAAATGGGAGAAACAGCATCTAAACAAATATATACAAAGCTAGCTATCTATAGGATAAATAGGAAATAATTGACAGAGGGAAGGCACTAGAATTAAGAGAGGTTGGGACAGGTTTCCTTTAGAAGATGGAATTTTGGTTGGGACTTAGAGAAGCCAGTAGGTGGAGATGAGGAAGGAGAACATCTCTGCTCCTTTAACCCAAACCATTAAAGCATGTTTATCTCCACTTTTGGATAAATTTCTTAAACTCATGTGAAATGTGGCATGGTGCAATGTCAAGTTAACATTTCCCAATATCAAGTATTCCATCTCCATTTGGAAATTTCTGTAATTCTGAAACAATTCTTCTCAGTATATCAGTGTGTTTATCAGAGCTTACCTCAGGCCATGCCCCAGCTTCTATGTAATGGAAGATTTCTGATCCCCTCTGTCACTAGTCCCCTCCCCCACCCCTGCAAAGAAGAAACAAAATGTACCTTGAATCTATTTTGCAATATGCTTTTATGTGTGTGTTTTTCACCCAAAGTAGATTGTAAGCTTCTCAAGGACTGTTTCACTTTTGCCTTTTGTATCCCCAGCAATTAGCACAGTGCCTGGCACATTTGTGGTTGTTGCTCAGTCGTTTCAGTCGTATATGACTCTTCATATCCCCATTTGAGATTTTCTTGGCAAGGATGCTAGAGTGGTTTATCATTTCCTTCTCCAGCTCATTTTTATAAATGAGGAAACTGAAGTAAACAGGTTCCCCTTTAGTGGGGATAAGACTGCCAGCCCTTCTGGAAGTAAAAAGATCCCTAAAACATTTTTTTAGGGTGGGTGTTTTACAATCTGGTGAAGATTCTCAAAGTTTACAAGCTCATTTACACTTCTTCTGAAAAGGTTTCAGTATGACCTTAAATGAAAAGGTGAGCTTTATCAGTAAAAACTACCCTTTTATAGCCTTCAGTACTCCAATAATTATGTTGTCTTGCTCATAACAAGTGTTTTTTTCTTCATAGCAGTAGTTAACCACTCTTTGTTCATTTGTTTATTGGTCTTCTCACTGTTCTTCCTTCAGGAAGTCTGAGCTGACCTGTAAAAGAATCAATAATAATAACCCCTTCAGCTGCCAGGTCTCTAGCAAGACCACTTGTCTTTGTTAGTTATCTAAGGATTAATTGGGCTATTTTTCATTGACCCTTTGTTAGTCTTTGGTATTGTTTTTTCATTTTTTAACCTTCAGTCTGACTGATGCAGTTTCATTGTGGGCTTGAATAGTCTTTGAAATGTTTGACCTCTCCACATTCAACAGCCAATATTTCTAACAAGGATTTAAACATGCCTTAAGAGATAGAACTTTTGCATAATGCCTTTGAGTAATATCCATTTTTTTTTTTAAACTACAGAACAGAAGAGAGAATCCAAGTCCAGGAACAGCTAATAGTCTAGTTTACCTAGGACAAATGTATGAAAGAGAGTGATATAAAATATGCCTGGAAAGGTAGATAGGAGCCAGGTTGTGTAGGGCTTTAAACACCAGCCTGAGGAATTTATATTAGAAGCAATAAAAAGCTTCGGGAGATTTCTGAGCAGGCAGGTGACCTTGTCAGTTTCTGAGTGATGGTCCCTTGTGAGTAAAGCTTACCTAGACTGGAACAAAAATAGAAATGAGAGTTCTTTGCATGGAGATGATTTATTGTGCAGGAGAAACTTTCTTTTCCTTCTTCTTCTTATCTTGGTTATTTTTTAAAACTAAAGTTATATTTTCTCTTTCAATGAATAATGTGGTAGGAAACCAATACTCATTAGAATTTGGGAATGAATAGTAATTACAATACTTTAAACTGTCTATTTTTTTTTATTTTTTTTATTTTTTATTTTTTATTTTTTTGCTTTTTGGCTAGGCAATCAGTGTTCAGTGACTTGCCCAGGGTCACATAGCTAGTAAGTGTCAAGTGTCTGAGGCCAGATTTGAACTCAGGTCCTCCTGACTCCAAGGCAGGAGCTCTATCCACTGTACCACCTAGCTGCCCCTAAGCTGTCTTTTTAAAGCACTTTGATATCTATCCCCCTTGTTGCTTCCAGGGAGGACAACTTGTAGCGTCTCCATTTAAAAAAAAAAATGATTCAACCAAGGTTTGAGGTATTCAGTATCATATCTAGGTTCTTACAGCAGAAGAAGGGCAGGGTGAGACTCAGATCCCAGATCATCTGACTTCTAGTGTTCTTTAGAGTCAGGTAACCAGCATGAACAAGCCACAATGCATAGCCCAGCTCTGCTGCCATTTTTTAAGTAAGTGGAGTCGCACAGGGGAGTGGATCACTTAGCCCTTTTGAGTCTCACTTCTTTCATCTATAAAATAAGATGAATAATATTTTTACAACATACTTCACAGGGTTGTTGTGAATATAAAAATGAAATGGTGTGTGTGGAATGGTTTGTAAACTTTAAAGCACTATGTAAATATCAGTTATTAAGGGAAGAGAAAAAAAGGTAGGGAGAGACAGGACAGAAAGTAGGAAGGGTGCTTCATTAAATTCAAGCATTTACTAAGTTCTTGCTGTGGCTGTATCTCAGGGACGATGCAAGATGTTGGTCTCTGCCTTCAGGGAGTTTACAGTCTAATGCAAGGATGCTTAACCTTTTTTTCTGCCATGGATCCCTTTAGCAGTCTGGTGAAACCTACAGACTCCTCAAAATAACATTCTTAAATGCATCAAAAACTTGAAACCCCAACCCCTGAAATCTATCCATCAACCCAAGGTTAAGAAGCCCCGCTTTTGTGGAAGACATGACATATACGCAAATGTTTATAATATAAAATAACACATGAGTTTCTAAGAAAAATGCAGATTACTAAAGGAGGGGTGAGTTTCCTAAAGCACAAGTCTGACCATGTCACTCTCCTACTTCCTAAAATCCCATGGTTCCCTTATAGCTTTAGGATCAAATATAAGCTCATCTCTTTGGCATTCAAAACTCTTCACAATCTACCCCTAACTTACCTCCCCAACTTTATTACACATTATTCCCCTTCACACATTTTATGGTCCAGTCAGACTAGCTTCTCTGTGCCTCATATATGATACTCCATCTCCATCCCCGTCCCCCTTCACTCTTTGTCCCCCATTCTTATCTCCCACTCCTTGCTTACTTTCACCTCTTAGAATCCCTAGTTTCCTTTAAAACTCAGACCATGTGCCAACTTCTATGTGAAGAAGATTTCTGATCCCCTCAGCTACTAGTCCCCTCCCCTACCCCTGCAAAGAAGAAAAAAAAAATCTACCTTGTCCCTATTTTGTTATGCTTATATATATGTGTGGTTTTCACCTTCAGTAGATTGTAAACTTCTCGAGAACAGGGACTGTTTCACTTTTGTCTTTGTATCCCCAGCAATTAGCACAGTGCCTGGCACGTTTGTTACTGTTGCTCAGTCGTATCTGACTCTTAGTGACCCCCTTTGGGGTTTTCTTGGCAAAGATACTGGAGTGGTTTATCATTTCCTTCTCCAGCTCATTTTTACAGATGAGGAAACTGGAGCAAACAGGGTGAAGTGACTTGTCTAGGGTCAAACAACTGATAAATATCCAAGGCCAATTTTGAACTCAGATCTTCCCGACTCCAGGTCTGGCGTTCTTTCTGCTGTGCCACCTATTACCCCTGTCTGGCATATAGTAGACATTTAATAAATGTTCATTGGGGCAGCTTGGTGGAGCAATGGATAGAACTCCAGCCTTGGAATCAGAAGGACCTAAGTTCAAATCCAGCTTCAGATACATAACACTAGCTGTGTGATTCTGGGCAAGTCACTTAACCCCAATTGCCTCATATTTAAAAAATAAATAAATAAACTAAAAAAAAAATAAATGTTCATCGATTGAAGGACATTAATTTCCTCTCTTCCCCATCAAGTAGCATAGCACCATTCATGTAGTAGTTAATTTAAGTGAATTAAGTTGTACTTTGGGCCATGATTCAAAGGAAGTAGAAGATGTGGAGAGGGAACTTTGATGTCATTTGGGATGTTCCAAGCAGGAGAGAGAACAAATCTGTGTCTTGGTCCTTAACAGTGGGACATTTGGCCGTGTTGTTTGGCATCCTTATATAATAAAACTTTCTTATATTTCAGGGTCTCCTTATGTTGTTGCAAAACCTACCTACAATTCATTGGGGCAATGAAGAGATTGGCCTTCTCCTGGCAGAAGCATACAGACTGAAATACATGTTTGCTGATGCTCCCAATCACTACCGACGATAGGTGCTGCCTCCATGCAGAGACCTGGACTTCCCCCATCACTGATGGCAATCTAATCACTGTGGCAATTGTTTGAGCCCTTGGACCCCAAGCCAGGAACCACTCCTACTGTAAAAAGCTCACATCAACCTAAGTCTTCACTTTTTGTGTGCCTGTGCACCACTCCATGTCTCTGGATGTGTGTCTCTCGGATATCAGTATTCCTTGCTGTGTAGGTGGGCTCACTTCTAGGGGAGGGTGGAAAGGAGAGCGCAGGATTGTCTCCTGCTAAGAGAGGAACTGACAAAACAAGGTGAAGGCTCAGGATATATGCCTGATTGCGCCCCTGCTTTGCCTGGTTGTCTCTTGTCACCCTCCTCTGGCTGAGTCCATTGCTGTCCAGACACAGCTTGATCTGACCACAGGTAAAAATGCCTTATGTTGTTAAGACACCTGATCTCCGTCATTCTCTCACCAACTCCACTCCCTTTGGCCAGTGCCCAATGATGGACAGCTTTCTAGGACCATTTTTATCAGATGATAGTTGCGTTGAGGCATAGAGCTTTCCTGAGAGTATCTGGGAAATGCAGTGCATTTAAGGGCTGGGAACATTTATTTTCCCTTTATTCACCCACATGTGTGCATGTGTGTCTTTCTGTGTGTGTACATCTCAGTGTGTGTGTGTGTGTGTGTGTCCGCGTTTGCGTGCATGTCTGTATTGGCATGTGTGCACACCCTCAGGGCAAGGTGTCCGTTTATGTCTAGACTAGCCCCACCATAACCAGCTGTGAATGACCCAAGTGAACAGGTATACAAGCAACCCTTTAAAAAGGATGGAGGTGGGAGGGAAAGGGACTTTTTGCCTCTTCAAACCCTTTCTCCATCGTGACACTCCTAGGCATTATGTGTATATTGTGTTCTTATGTATATGGGTAAAGATGTACAATATATGTCCTCTTTGTAGCAGATATGATTTTATATTTATAATGTGCACCCATGTTTGAAGCCAATCTCGGTCCAATGCAGTAGGTATTCTATCTGCCAGATTTGGAAGGTAAAGAATTTTGCCTACACACTAGCACATTTGAGGTTAGAAAGCTCCTTTCCTAACATAATGCTGAACTCCAGGTTTGGTTTTACAGGCCCTCTGGTGGGAATGGCTTTTGAGGAAGAGCTGTTCAGAGCCAGAGTGATTATGGGGTAGTAGGTTATACTTCCTGTAGCACCAGCCCCTGAACATGCATTTGTTTCTCACAGCTTCCCTTAATCCTCCTCTTCCTTCTTTACCTGGTTCTCCCTGTACTTTCTGCTCTGCTCCCCATGTTCCTCTCCCATTCATGGGAGGGAGGTAGAACTCCTTAAACTTCAGTACCCTCTCACAGACAGTGTCATAAGCAGAGGAGGAAAACAGATCCATGGTTTTTAGTCCCTCCCCTTCCCTTTGTGTCTGGAGATTTTTTTTCCCTTTTTAATGTTAATTCAGCATTTTATTCAGAATGGAAACTGTGACTGGTCAGTGCCAAGGGGAAAGGGAGGTGTGGTGTGTGCCCTGGATTTTCTGACTCTTACTCTCAGAAAGGGCTAAGTGTCACACACCTCCCACCCCATCTCAGCCTCATCCCTCAGAACAGTTTATGGGGGTGGTTAATAGAGAACAGCAGTCTTCTTAGAAAACCAAGCAGTGTCCGCAGCAGATGACTCCCATAGTCTTCATTGCCAATAAACTCCAACCACTCCGGTAATGTGTTGTCTCCCTCATCTGGAGCTGTTTCTCAGGCATTCTTCATAGCGCTTTCCTCCCCCTTCCTGTGGTATGGGCATCTCAGGGGGTCCCTATCCAAAGGGAGGGGGCTTGTGGTCCTTCCTCAGCTGGACTAATTAAAGAAAGACACTTGTGTTCCCAAGTGGTGGTTTTATTTTTTTAGTTTTTATGTTTGTATGGGAAATTGTGGATAAAGTGAAAGAATTGTAAATAAATAGAGAATTTTCTCCTCCATTTGCCGATTTTTCATGCCCTGAGATCATGGAAAGTGGGGACTTAAGGACTTGTCTTCAATTCTTGGATTATGACACTATGAAAAATAGTTAAATAAGAAGCAGAGGTCCATTTTGGGTCATAAGAGGAATCGGGAGATTCAAGAAGCACTTTGGGGCTTTAAACAAATGTTAATATAATCCTACAGAGTCTGAGCCTTAAGGTTTTTTTATCTAGACAAGAGATCTTGAAAATTTTTTTGATAATGCATTGTCAGTAAAAAATACTGATGCACACCCCCAACAGATGTCTAGTCACTTACAAATTGCATATGTGTTATTGTAGTAATAATTGTATACCCTATGAAATTTACACAAGAAACACTTTAAAAGAATAAGATAAAGATGACATAACATTTGACCTTAAAACCAATAGGAAGCCGCTAAAGTTTGATTAGAAAAGTGACACATGTTGAACTTCACCTACTGCCGGCTGTGTGGAGAATAAGATGGAGTGAGGTGGGGATGTGAGGCAGGTAGACCCGCAGAGCCAGGAGGAACCTTAGTGGTCAATAAATCCAGCCCCTTTATTTTACAGATAGGGTTATGCACATCTGATAAGTGTCTGAAGCAGGATTTGAGTTCCCATCCCCCAGACTCCGGAGGCACTGGACAGTAACAGTGGTGATTTTGTGGGAGTTGGAAGGGGGACAGATGTGAGAGGTGTTGGAGAGATCAAAATGATAAGATTTGACAACTAATTGGATATTGATGAGGGAGGCAGAACAGGTGAGGGAAAGTGATGAATCAAAGATAGCACCAGGGTGAAGATCCTGGGTTAAGGGTGGTGGTGTCCTCAACAAAAATAGAAAAGTTCTGGAAAAGGATGGGTTTTGTGGAGAAAGGTAATAAGTTCTGTTCTGGACATAATGAGTGAAATGCTTACAAGCATACCCAATATATTCCCACATCGGGAGAGAGTCATCTGCATAGAGAAGATAACGATTAAATCCATGGAAGCTGATGAAGTCAGCAGATGAGTGTGAACAGAGAGAAGAAAAGAGGGTGCAGGACAGAGCCTTCCATTCCACCAGCAGGAGGCATGATATGGATGATGACCCAGTAAAGGTGACTAAGGAAGAGTTGTCAGACAGGTAGGAGGAGACCATAGTGTCCGTACTCCTGAGAAAGAGTAGCTATCCAGGAAAAGAAGGTGGTCAGTAGTGTTAAATACAGAAAGGTATAAAGAAATGAAAATAGAGGAGAAAAAGTCAGATTTGGCAATTAAGAGATCATTGGTAACTTTGAAGAGAACAGTTTCAATTGAATAAGGAGTCGAAGAGAAGGTTGAGAACCTGAAAGGATGGTGGCACCCTTTACAGGGTTTAGCTGGAAGATTCAGATTTTTTTTCCTAACAACCTTCTAATGGAATATTTCTAAGATTATTGAGTGCATTCTGCCCACAATTACAGATGGTTATGGATCCCCTAACTAATAGGTCCTCCTGGGAATATTTCCTAGTCTTCTGGGAATTTACTGTAGAACCACATTGCAGTTGAAGGTGGGACTTTCCCATATACAATATGGGGAAATTTAATGTCCAACTTCAGCATGACTACACATCATCCTGGGAATTTCCAGCCTTTCTCCAATGTCTCGTTGTACCATGGATACTCTCAGACAGTATAAAATATGGCAGATGCTTTTATCAAGGTTTCCAGGACTGACCTGAAAAATAGGTGTAGACTATATTATGACTATTGTCTGATGTGGACCAGCATAGCTTATTTGCAGAGGCTCACCAGATTAACCACAGGATAATGTATTTGTGGTCAGCTCTAAAACATGCAAGTCACAAAGAGGTTGCTATCTACACAAGTGGAGAAAGGACCCACCTCAGTGAAACCCTAAATCTTTAAGTATATGAAACTGCTAACAGTATTTTCCCCTTTTGTGTTTGTATTTGGAGAAAGATTATTCTTTGTAATACCAGTAGAGAAGATAATGAGCTCGCTGTAATTTTTCCTTGTATCATTCATTGATACCATCCTTGTGCAGGAAGGTAATCATAGAGATGGCTTTTTTGACATCGTCATCATCATCATCATCATCATCATCATAGCTACTGTTTACATAGCACTTACTAGTGCCAGGCACTGTGCTAAACACTACAATTATTATCTCATTTGATCCTCACAACCACCCTGGGAGGTAGGTGCTATTATTATCCCCATTTTACAGATGAGGAAACTGAGGCAGAGGTTAAGTGACTTGCCCAGGGTCACACAGCTATTAAGTGTCTGAGGCTGGGTTTGAACTCAAGTCCTCCTGACTCCAAGCCCAGCACTCTCCACTGCAATGCCTTGCTACCCAAACATTTGGGTGTTTTTGTCTATATCAATGATACCAATGTATGTATTCCAAACTAAAGGTAGCTGTCACTGACCTGCAGTTTTTCTAGTTTGCCAGTAATTGAGTCTCCAGTGTTAAACTTCAATTGGCCCCTCCTGCATCCTTTCGCTCACCTGTGGAGAGAGCTTTCTCCATATTCTTCTTTTCTCCAGAAGCCATCCAGATAGTAATTCCCATTTATATAGCACTTTAACGTTTGCAAAGCACTTTATTGTCTCATTTGAGATCTATGTATTATTTCATTTGAACCTTACAACCTCTGAAGCAGATGCTATTATCCCCACTTTTTTCAGGTAAGGTAATAGGTTCAGAGAGTTCAGTGATGCCTCAAAATGACATAGCTACTATGTGTATGGGGTAGAATCGGAACCTGAGTCCTCCTGAATTTAAGTCCAGTAATCTATCCATCGCCCTACACTGTACGTGACTCATCTTAGCACATGTCTAGATAACCAGAAGCTGAAAGCTATGAAGCTTTAAGAATTGAAATGTTGGGGGCAGGTGAGTGGCGAAGTGGATAGAGCACCAACCCTAGAGTCACTTACGAGCTGTGTGACCCTGGGCAAGTCACTTAATTCTGATTGCCTCACAAAAAAGCAAACAAGAACAACAACAAAAATAATTGAAATGTTAGCAGAGATTTGATCTTTTCCAAATTCTTATGCTTAATTTTCTTCTGCTACCCAAGATAAAAATTTTTTGACATCTCTGTGGCTTTCCTGGACACCAGGTAGGTCATCGTGGGGTCTTCTGGGAGGAAAAAGCCTGTTTAGATGACTAAATGGTTTATGGGCAAGTATGCAACAAATATTCATTAAGCTTCAGCAAAGGTTCAACAAATATTAATCAGCCTTACTATGTGCACGGCCTTGTGCTAAGCACTCAGAGTACAAAAACAAAAATAGTAATTGTGAAGAACAAGCATGGTTTGAAAGAAGAGACATGAAAAGAAGCCCCCATCCTACCTCTTCACAGAGATGGGAGATCCACCAGTGTACTCTGCACATATTTTCAAACTTCTTTGATCATTGGTTAGTTACGCTGATTTTTTCCTCTTTTTCTTTTTAGGTCTTTAAGAATACTATTTGTTGTAGGAAATCATGGTAATGTAAAAAGCCAAAACATCAATAAAAACTTGTTTAAAAAAAAATGAAGCAGTCCCCACTCTTAAGAAACCTACATCTTACTGAGATATGAATGAATGGATGGATGGATGGATGGATGGATGGATGGATGGATGAATAAATGAAGATATAAATGAATGAGTGGATGAATCATTTATTAGATGTTTATTATGTACAGAGCATTGTGCTAAGAACTAGGAAATGGGATAGAAAAGTAAGACAGTCGTTGTTCTCAAAGATCTTCCATTTTAATGGTGGGATGGCACATGGAACTTTTCACTTTTCTCAGCTGCTAAGTCAGATGAAAAGGTTCCATAGTTCTTAGGGTACATCAGCAAAGCAGATTAGTAACCCTTCTTCTTTAATATTATTTCCACTGACAAAAGCATGCCATTCTCTAATGTTGAACCATTTCATAGTGACAAGGACTTCGGTGACAAGAACTTTATTTTCTAAGTCTTCAGTAGCTGTTGTAGTATCTGCAGGAGCAGTGGCTGGGCTGCATCTCCACAGAAGTTGTTTCTCAGGATGATGCCTAACTGCCCTGGGCTGGGAACAGCTACTCCCAAGGCTCCTGGTACTGAGCTCAGGGTACTAAGCTGTCTTCATTGGGCTTTCTCAGGGTAGTGATGGTCCAGATGGTGGTGGAGGTTTGACCTGTCGGGTCTGTGCTACTCATCTCTCTCAGGGTGCCCTACTGATTTAACTCTTACCTGTCCAGGGTGTGGAAGTAGGTTGGCAATTTGTGGATTCCCCAGATGGTGACTGTGAGGGCTGGGTTGGAAGCAGGCTTTGTAGTCTGGGTAGTGCTGCCACTCCCTGGGCTCCTGTGTCTGTTCACCTGTTGGTGGTTGGTGGTCAGCAGTTGTTGCTGGTGGTGATGAGGAAGTTGGGGCCCCTTCTTCACGATAATTTCTTCCCTCAATGATAGCTGTAGGGCCAGAAGCAGATTTGATGATTAGAGTGGAACTGCTTTTCCCAAGCTTGGCTCTTGGACTCAGGGTCCTGCGCTGTCTCCATCAGGTCTCAGGGGAGACGGTGGTCAATGTGGTGGTCTGACTTGCCTGGAACATACTGCCTCCTGTCTCCCTCAGAGTCCATTGAATATACATATATATACACAAATACACACGTACGTATATAATTACATGTAAATACACAAAGCAGAATAAAGTATACAAACACACAATGAATATAATGGAAATGAAAGAAAAAACACAAAACAACCAAAAGTGAGTATTGTGAAATTACAAAGAATAAGCCTGGCTCCAAAGAAGGGATATGTGAAGACGCCCAAACCCCTACCCCAACCCCACTCCTTTGTAGAAGTGAAAAGTCCACAGCTGTGGTTCCTTGCATGTGTTTTCAGACTCTTTTGGTGATTTTGTTCAATGATCAGTTTTAGTGAATTTTTTTCTCTTTTCCTTTTTAATATCATTATATGAGATGCCTTCCTCTGACAGGGGTGGGGGGGGGGGAGGGAAG